AAAATCTATTTGATGTTCAGTACCTCAGTCAAGCATATATTTAGTTTGTTCAGCTTTTTGTCTAAAGTGGATTCATTTCCAGAAAACCACAGAGGACTGATAACTCTATAAGACTTTAAAATTTTCTGTTTATCCAAAGAACTGAACTTGACACTGGATATAAGTAACAGTAATACCTTGCCCCCTCACAAGCTGTCACCTGCTCATGGATTTCAACACATCCTTAAAAAAAAACTTACATCAACAGGCAAGCAGACAGCTCAGGCTTTAGACCCACATAGTCTTAATCAGACACCAGAGCAACCAAAAAAGCAGAGTACCAGCTCATTATTTCACCTAGGTCAGAATGATCTTGTTATCTGTGGTCAAATCATATCTCACATGGCAAAAGAAAATCATAGATCTACTAAGTCTAACTGTCTAAAGATCCAAATACAGTTTCTGAAGACTGAGAAGCATTAAAAGCAAAACAATACCACTAATGCTCTTCCATGGAGGCACAGGGTTTCTTTTATTTTTTCTTAAATTTTGTTTGGGCTTTTTGTTCTGTTTTTGCTTATTTTGTTTGTTAGGTTTGGTGTTTTTAATGTAATTTACAAGGAAGCCACATAGATTTTCAGTGTGTTATACCTTGATTCTAAGTTTTCTCTTTCAGAATGGAAAAAGTAGAGGACAAAGATGGGGGCACAGGCAGCAGCTCCTGAATCCCCTGCCCCTGAAAGTTAAATATTTCTATTACATAGCACAATAGGAACAAAACACCAAATCATCAACCTCATTGCTCAAAAGATGGTTAAGAAGTGCATACTTACCTTCTTAACCTGTTCTTAAAAAGTTCTAATATCACAGCTGATCCTGAAGAAAGATTGGTAGTTCTCCTTTCCGCATTGTCTCCTTTTACATTTTCAACCCAATAAATTAGAACTGACACGTGCAGATGCCATTTCCTGTGTTTTCTAAGAATTTTAACATTTTGAATCTTTGCTGTTTTACAGCCCATGAATGACTCAGGATAGCAATTATCTTCCCTTTTGAGATAGTCAGAATTTTCTTTCCTCTTTTGAAACTGCTTTACTACATAAAGCTATAAAATCCCATTTTTATTAAACAAAATTCAAAAAAAAGGGGAAAGGAGTAGAAAGAAAAGAATGCATTTTTCCATGCATTATTTTCAACACTTATTCTAACAAAGTAATTTCTCTACAACAAACAAGTACTTTTCCTTCTTCTCTGCACTTCATTTTCTTTGTAGCTCAGAGAAAAGCTCATATTTGTTCCATAAATCCAGTAGCACTATGAGAATAGACTACAAAAGCAAGGGAAAGGAAAGATGTCAAACCATCATGGAGCAAATTAATGCTCCACTCTTCAATAGACAACCTTTGATTCCAGAGAGAAAGTGAAGTATGACCAGATTTGAAGTTTCTCTACTGAGCAGATGAAGGGTGAAATCCTTTTTGACATTATCCTGCTGTGAGATTTTAAGCATGAGATTAGATTTGCTGTTTTCCACATACTGCTTAGTATGCAAAATGTGTTTCTGATTATCCAGCCTGTATGTGTCATTCATGCTTTTCATGCACCAGTGAATTACAAAGGTTAACTACACTATTTCATGGAAAGTGGCAAAAGATTATGATTTTACTGTGGGATCTGGAAAGAAGATTAAATTAGGACAAAAAAAAGTCCCAAAACATCTGGAATAGTGTCAGCCAGTTTAATAATGATCAGTCTCCTTTGTAAGAAGCTGTTAGTGAACGGGTGTGGTAGAAGCAGCATCTCTTCATAGAAATGAAAAAAAACCATAGAAAACCACCCGATGGAAGAAATAAAATGTTCTTTATCCACTGCTGTTAGGTTTTTTTGGCTGGGCTCAGGATGGGGTGAAAATATTTAGAACATGCAGCTGAACTTCAGATAGCTCTAGTGCCCATGATAATCAATATAGGGATGTGCAATAAAAGAAAGGAAAACACAGGAGAACATGTGGCAAATTAATGAAGAGAAGGGTAAGGAGAAGGGCCCTCTTGTTATGTCAGAGATAAGAGATAAAAGCTGCAGTGAGCACAAGAGATCAAGAAACAGTGAAAATGAACAAGTACATTGGTATGTCCTCCTCCCCAAGACTTATTCTCCTCAGAGCCATGTGTAGCACACCTGAACATACCAGGCAGCAAGGCGGCTTCTGGCTTTGCCACATCCCTTCCAGGGAAACACAAGCTGCCACTACAGATCTGACCAGACTGAAAAAAGGTATGTGATATGAAGCTTTAACTCCATAAACTCATTTGACATTTCAGACTTTCTTAGGCTCTCTTCTTCCAGCTAATCCCCCTCAAAATCCTCTGCCAAAAGCAATGGTACTACAGGACACATTGAAACACAAAACATGTCAGTGTGGCAGCTGTCATCTTGTCAAACACACTGGTGATTGAACAGTAGACTTCAAAAGCTGAAACCATAAGTTTATACAGCACACATGGAAGCTGCATGATGCAAAAGGGATCTAACATGTCACCTAACAAACACGATGAAGAGGTTATTTGTTTAGGCTAGTTGTGCTAGCCTAAACAAATACCAACATATATATTTTGAAGAAATTATAGCAACAGAACAGGTAGGACATCAGAGGTAAAGTAATTCTTGCCTTAGGTACTGAATTGGCTTTTTTAAGAACTACTATACACTGTTAAAGACCAGCCAGTTTCAGCCTCAAGAATGCCTGCATTTCAAAAGTGACTCGTATATATGACTAAGAATGTTTTGGAAGATTCCAAAGAAAAAGTTGTCCTATAAATACAAATTACTGAAAGTGCTTCCTGTTCAAGAAGAAGCCTCACTCATGACTGGAACACAGATAATTCTGTGGTAGCTGGGTGCTTTGGCACACAGAGAGGCTGACCCATGCTGAAGCATGAGAGGAGCAATGTGGTCAAGGAAGTTCAATGGCTTGCACAAATTGAATAAAAGGAGGTGGCAGCAGAACCAAGACAATAAGGAATATTATTTTCCTATTGAAACTTGTGAATCTTAACTGGTGGTATGAAACTGAAATACACAGAGACAAAAAACACGAACAGGATGCAACAATGTCACCCCTTTGTAGCAGTACTGGGGCATCTTAGGCAGGACAGTGCTCTCTGCTGACCTACATCTCATATTCTGTTGTTCTCAGGGCTTTCTTCCTCTAAATATTCTTTGATTTAGTCCTGAAATCAAACTGCCAGCTTCTAAGAAAACAGCTGCCACATTGTAATCTCTGCCTCTGAAAGCAAAGCCGCAACAAAAGACAGGCATTAACAGAAATCTCTCATATGACCTTTAAAAGACAAGATTCATATGTGGGAATGGAATAACATTTCTTTTAACATTCATATTCCCATCATGCATGTAGTCCCTCTGCCCTTCATGATGAAATACGGAGATGTCCAGCAAATCAACACACAGCAAGACTCTTCAGACAAAAAGCCTGCAATCGTTTATTAAAAACATTTTCAAAGACCATGAGGCAGCAAGGACTATTTGGGACTTCTTCCCTTAAAAACATTAAGACTGCACCCAAAGTCACTTCAGATGCAAAGAAACTAGGGAGATGTAAATAAGGACTGAACAACCTTAGAGGTTTTTCTCTCCTTAGAGAATGGCAGACAGGTGTGACTTTCACTGATGACTGTAAGAATAGGCACCAGCAGGCAGCAAGACAGATCTGAGATGAAGCCTTGAGGATTGTTATAATTCCAAAAATAAGGGGAAAAAACCCAACAACAAATATAACAGCTTTACAGTCGCCACATTCTCACACTTTTTACTAATCCTAAATATGTTGGCAAAAAGAACACTTTCCTCTTCAGCAGTTTCTTTGGTACTTAACAGGACCATTTGGAAAGGTACAGGCACAGCTTTCCAAGATCAAGTTCTTCCAAAGGCAGAATGAGGACCACCACTGACCTTATCACCAATTTTTTTTAGGTCTCCTAAGAAGGAACAACCTTGACAAATGGCAAGGCTTCATCATGATGTAACCTGCAATCTTGACACAGTAGGGAAAGATAATCAAGGAGTCATTTCACTTTGTGAAATTTTTGAAGGATCAGTTTGTGACATACATCTTGTTTAAGCAAACATACAAACTTCACAGAAAAAGCCATCTTCCTCTATTGACTGGTAGCCAACAAAGCAGACTGGTACTGAGTGATTCTAGACATAATGGTGATTTATCATTTAATCCAGAAAGCAAAACCTTGGAGTTTTGGATGGTAAGTATCCCAAGTGCTTTGGGAATTGAAGCCATATGCATTTTACTGAGTCAGTGATGGTGATGTCAATATTCTTTTAACTAATGGGAGCTTACAGGAACAGCAAATTATTTAAAAAGGCTTCAAGAAATCACTACTGTTTACATGCTTCAAAAAGTAACTCATCCCACTTAGTTCTAAACTGGCTGGAAAAGAGAAACAACTGAAGAGAAATGTTTTCCAAGCAGAAGAGTGCTTTCACTGGAGGCCTACCTCATCAAAAATTAACTCCTCTTTTGGTCCAGTCTTTACACTTCAGCTCCTTCTACCTTCCATTTCCCACCTCTATTTGTTCTTTAAAATATTTCTGTGGATCTGTGCACAGAAGTGCAAAGGGTGCTCTGAAGCACAAATGAACTGAGTGCTCAGAACATCTTCCAAAGCATTTTAAGGCTACTGTAATGCTAATAAACCACTCTGAGAAAACTACTACTAGGTAGTAGTCCATCCCCTAGTACCATCCTTTCCCATTCTTGAAGGTACCAACTCATAGGGGATGGAGCATATAAGAAAAGAGCAGCTAAGCCGCTCACAAAAACTGTCAATCCTTAAGCTGCATTTGGTAGACAAAAGTGTAGTGAAGAATACTGCAATGGCAGCAAACTAATGAAATGGACAGAAAGGTAAACAAGTGGATGCAGAGATTGCAACACAGAAGTGCGAAGAGAGTGGTGGATAGAGGAACCTCTCTGAAATCAATTATACCTTCACATCCACGCTCAATCTGCCCACTGCGGTGCAGAGCATCGTTGATAAGGTCAGGCAGACGCCCATTCAAGTCCACAGATGCCAGACAGCCCTGAAATCCATCACGTGAGGCCACAAGCTTCGGGAGGTTGCTATACATGCCTTGAGCTAGGCCAGCAATGTAGAGATCACCTACAGCAGAGAGGGGTAAACATACGAGAGGAGGGATGTCACACACCTTCTAGAGCCTCTTTTCTTGCCACCAAACTTGAATAAAGCACAGAGAATACATGTTCAGAGAAAGTTAAAAACAGAGCAATGTATTGTGCAAGAAGTCACTTCTGTTTCCTTTAGTACAAAAAACCCAAAACAAACTAAACAATCAACCTAAACAAAATGAACCAAAAAAAACCCCAAATAAAAAACTCATCATAAAATCCCCTAAATAATTCCAGTTCTCATTGCTACCTAACCAGGAAAAACTGAAAAATGACAGTTTCTGAAAAAGCAAAATATGACAAACTATTCAGCTACAAAAAGTTGTCAAACAAAAAAGAGGAAAATTAATTTGAAAGCCAAAATGTGCAAATGTGTTCTATAATGCATGGTTACTCCAAGTTTTCTCTTATTCACTAGTTCAGCCCTGCAAGAAGAAAGGGGGAACTTGTCAGTCCTGTAGAGTTTACCTTTAAGATCCAGATTTTTGGCGCCGTTGATAACCTGAGTGACCACCTTAGTGTCCACTTTCAAGCTGTGTGTGTTGCTGTTATCTCTGGTAATGACGACATTGTGCCATTGGTTGTCATTCAGAGGACGATCACTGTTGCCTTTGATAACATTAGGTCCATTTCCGAGGTCAAACACGTAGTGTATATACCTGTAAATATAGCAAGAACTGGTTAACATTCTGGAAGAACTCCAGCATTACTGAACCTTATTCTAGCCAGAGCTGATAAATTAACTTTAAAAAGTCATGAAGGGAAATATGTCTGCGTTAGAAAGTTCGAATAGGCCAAAATATTAGCCACTGCCTTGGAAGAATATAGTTGTTTCCTTTCCACCAAAGTGTAAGGATTAGTATTTTGAGATGACAACATTTCAAATAATCAGATTCTAACCACAAAACATTCCTCTTTTTCACAAAGTTCTCTCAGATCCACAAAAACACTGTCTGTGAATATAATTTTTTTTAATTGTTATAATTGATAAATTTACTGGGGAGCAACACTAGATGTGCTTATTTGGGGCATATATTCCCCAGATTAATTCTGAGTTTTGAATAACTCCCATAAGAAGTTAATTGGGAAACTCACTTGAAATATTGTACTAAAATTCTCATGAGATCCTAGACTTATTCAAACAGCTGAAAAACAATTAGTAAAGCTTTTGGCAAAAATAGAGACCCTAACAAAGACTGAAGTCAAGGGACTGTTACACTGAATTATTTATATAGTTCAAACACAGAAATCCACCTGAGGATGGAAGAGAAGTATTCTACTTAGGAAAAAAAAAAAAAAAAAAGATAAAATTCATCTCTCAACAGAGCACCAGGAGCTCATGACCATTGCTTTTTTTATTATTCAATGTCCCAGTTACAGAAGTATTTTCAAAACCAAAAATGAAAACAGATTGAACTGAAATAAACAGGACTAGTAAGCTGTGGAAAACGTCTACCATAACTAAATCATAAGAGATCAAAATTTGTTCAGCTAACAAAGGATTTTTCTTTAACAAGCTATTAGTCTTCTGAAAAGAATATAGCAGCTCAAAAGCAAGCTGAGCTCGCTTTTCATCAAGCATCACCAGCAGAAGTACAAATTCAGAAGCCCATATGCTTTTTCTTTTTCCTTTGCTGGAGATGGCAGAAACACAAGTATTACAATGGAAAAAAAAAAAAAAAAAAGGGAGATGGAGTAGGGAAGAAAAGACATACAGAGTCCTCAGAATATCTCATCTGTGCTAATCTGCAAGGTTGACAGGACAAAACATTAGTCCATGTCCAAACAACTTAAAATACTAATACTGTAAAAATGTCCCTCCCACAAACACAGGAGGAAGTCAGTGATAAAATCAGGAGGCTTAAGCTTCAGTGTTTTTGTTTAAATGCTTTGTTTCACAGCTCAGCAAACAGAGAAAACATGAGTATCGGGTGAATTGCTCTTCACGCAAGCATTTTAAGCTCACCTATAAGTAAGTTTATCTATAAATAAGCTTGTAGGAAATAACAGAAAGCCACTCACCCCTTGACTAGCTCAACTGCGATAAAGTCATTGCCATCACCACTGTTAAAGAGGATGAAACCATCAGCTGAGGTGGTCTTGAACTGAAAGAAGAGGTGCATGGATGTATAAGCCTGCAAGGTGGCCAAGCTCAGGTAGCTGCTCTTAGTCTTGAATGTCACAGGGTCAGCTATAATGTTGCGGAGACCAAAGCGAGCCTTCAGCTCGCAATAGTCAATGTCGCCGTTCTTGCACAGGTCAATGTAGAGCATCCCGTTGAACATGAGGCTCTGGAGATGGCCAATGAAGCTGGAGGGGATGACAGAGATGTACCGTTTCTCTGTCATGATCCCCGTCTCGATGTTGTGGAACTCCAAGCGGGTATGATCACCAACCATTGTGCCTGGAGGACAAACAAGGAGGAATATTGGGGATCAGCAACAGGTTCTATGGAGCCCTACACACTCTGGTTTCCAGACTAATAGCAGAACTAAATCCTATCTGATCATTGTTCAGTAGCTTGTGTAAGAAAGGATGTTTAGAATCTTGGTGAAGAGATGTGTGAGTCTAGCAGTTGCCAAAACCTGGCAGAAAAGACAGGCCCCTAAAGGGCCACGGGCAGCAAACTGTACTTTTCCCTGTGCTTCACAGATTTCACTGTCTGTGAAGGAGACCAGGCATCTCCCTTAAAGCCTACAGTGATCGATTTGATGCAGCAGACCATCTGCCAAACAACTCAAACACTTCTGAAACAACTTTTCCAAGTGCCTTTCCTGAAAGCACTTGATAAACATAGATGAATATAAATAGAGCAGTGAGAGAAGTGAGAACAGTCATAAAATTGCTGATATTTATTCCTTTGTTCTTTCCTGGTGCCTGGTATTATTCATTTTCTTTTAAGAGCATGGCAGGAGGGAAACACACAAAAATGCAACAGGTAAAAAACTCTCCAGATATATTTAAATCATCAACCTACCACCTGGGCTATTTACCATATCATGACAAGATTTTAACCTCTTAAAATATCCAAGCTATTCAGTATACCAAATACTACTGTCAGGCCCCTCCTACAGCATATGTAAATGTTTCACTAAGTGTGCTAGGCAGCAGTGCAGACACAGAACCCATACAGTCAGATGAAATACAACAGTATGCTATAAAGACAAGTTGGGCAACATCAGAATGAAAACCCTTTCAGCCAATCTTATTTAGCCCTCCATAGCTCTCCATTAAGGTAGTTTTTACTATTTGGTCACATGTGCAAAGTATTTTTCTACATGGGCCTTGGTCCATTTAGTAAACAGGAATGAATGGAATAGTAAGAATTAAATTGTTTTCCTATTATTCACTGTTCAACCACTATTCAAATTCTGCTACATATGAGGCCATTATTTTTTTCTGTCATGAAGTTTTCTGCAGTTCTGCATTGGATTTATGCAGTGTGGTGTTGGCAGCGGGGTGGCTACAGGGCAGCCTCAGTGAGGAGAGGCCGGGCTATGCCTGATACGGCCTGTTCCAAATGGCTCCAACCCGCCCCTCACAGGGCACGGCTGAGCCCCTCGGCCAAGATGGTGGTGCACAGGGGAAAACATGTAAAAAAGAATATAATTCTACCCACAATAAACAAAGGGAAAAAAACCTAAACAACTCAAACCCCTATGAACACCAAGAACTGCAAAGAGGCAGGGGGCATTCCAGGTACCAGAGTGGAAATTCTCCAGCATCCACAGAGAAGATCATAATAGTGCAGACAACTCCATGCAACTCATGGAGGACTCTTGTGCTAGAGCAGGTGAATATTTCCTGAAGGAACTGCAGCTCCTGGAGAGCCTACACTGGAGCAGGTTTTCCTGAAAACCTCTGGAGACCACCCATGCTGGAGTACTTCACGAAGGACTGCATTCCATGGGAAGGACCCACACTGGAGCAGGACAGAAGTGTGAGGAGGAAGGAGCATCAGAGAGGAGCTGTTCCAGGCTGACTACAGCCACCATTCTCCAACCCCCTTCTCTGCCTAGTGGGGGCAGGTGGGAGAGGCAGGAAGGAAAAAATCCAATAAAAGAGTGTGGCTGACACTGTTCTACTTTCTTGTCTTTGTTTCTCATCACTCTATTTATAATTGGCAGCAAATTAAATTAATTTTCTCCAAGTCAAGTGTGTTTTGTCCATGATTATAATCACTGCACGTCCTCTCCTTTAGAAGGTTTTCCAAAGGAAACAGCCACACTACCCATTGGTCCCTCTCACAACACTTTAATATGCCGGTCAAATTTACCAGGTTTAAAAACCAGAGGGAACAAGGATATTCACACTAGTTTTGTTAAAATTCACAGCTGGATGAAGACCTGAATAAATATTTCCAGTGTGCTATAGACAGACAAAATTTGCCAGCAGTATCTGACGTGGCTGCATCTGCTGCTCAGCAAGCATATATACACAACTCTCTGATATCTGTCAGTCATTGGGACTGTACCTACGAACCATACCAATCACCAGAGCTGAACCCAGAACAAATTTCCCCAATTCTCCTAGGTCATATCAACTGGGGCTTTCTCATATTCTGTGCTCTCTCCTGAATTTTCCTAGCATTTCTCACCTTAAGAGTTTCCAGGCATTAAAAGACAAAAAAATCAAACAGCCAACCAAAAAGCAGTAGTTCTTTCAAGACTTTTCCTACTAATTGTGATTTATTTTTTTCTGTTGGGGATAGAACTTTTGAAGGCACATGGATGATACACCCTGACTGGTAGTGTATAGAAGGTCAGATTAAATGAACTGATGGTCATTTTCTTGCTTAGAGACTCTGGAAACACTGAAATATTCCTAACCCACCTCTCATGTTCATGGGCAAACTGCAGTTTTTCAGTTTATACTTTGTCCAATTGCAAACAAGTTTTATTCAAAGACAGCCAGCAAGCACAGTTGTTAATAGAAAAAAAAAATCAGCTATCTACTTCATATAAAAAGAAAAAACATTACATAAACCAATTCACCTTTTTCACTTGCTCCAAATTTTACCAGTGGATCTAAATATAAATGCAATTATACAGAGACCATGGAAAACTTCAGTCCAAGCAGACACAGCTGATCAAACTCAGAAGCAGCTGAAGGCAGTCACAAATTTCTGACTATTTAAAAATTCAAGTGTCAGCACCAATGCAAATGTTTTTAAATCCTGGAACAGCTCTTTACCAGAAATAATATTTAGTTTGAAAAATAGAAGTTTCCAGAAACTGAAATAGTACATGGGGAAATTTGTTTAGACAACTTTCTCATATCCAGTACTGTGATTCTTAGAGGCTTAGTGTTTCAGTGTCAGTGTTACATAATTTATGATTTTTCCAAACCAGAAGTGTATTTTCTTAAAATTACAAAAGTCACTTAAAATATTATCCTGCTTCTTTACTTAAAAAAAAAAAATTAGAATAATAAAATTAAGAGATGTCAGTTCTCAAAGGCAAGAAAACTCCTTCTTTCTGTTCTTCTACACTTAAAAAAATATAAGGCAATTGTGGTCTGAGAAGGAGAGAAAAGCCAAGACTGGGAAATCTGGGACAGGGAGCCCAAATATAGAGGGCATTAAAAATGAAGTGAGGGAGTTTGGAGGAGGTGAGCCCAGAATCTTAGAAAAGGTGAAAAATGAAAAAGTTGGGGCTGGCTTAATAAAAAAGAAATAGTGTTAGAAGCACTGCTATAGAAAGTCAGGAGTAGTTCAGCAAAAAGCTGGAAATGACATGGCAATACAAGATTAGAATCAGGACAGAGATGTAATTTCCTAGGAAATCATGGAGTGCAATCCAGTATTTTCTGATCTCATTAGCTATCAGCCCCACCTGCAGAGTTCACCTCTAGTTCCCCCACTGTGCTCTACAGAGTACTGTACCTACTACAGCAATCAGAAACTCCTTAGTTCAAGTGGTAGCAGAAAAAATTCCAGCCTCCACTGTGGTATTTAGGTGCTAGGAAGATGTCATACAGAGGAATATATCTGCTGTATTTGTGTCTCATTTACCACTTATGTTCTGAGGTCTGTTCTGAGGTCAGGAGGAATGTGGGACAAGTGTTTTGTGATTAAACAGTAAAATGCTGTCCAGAATTGGATTCTACCTCTGCCTTAGATGTCCTACAGAAAACCAAGCCAGACACTTGTTTACAAATTTTTCATAGGTGGTCATTAATTGTCTACATCGAATTCCCCAAGTGGCAGGGCTGAACTAATTTACAGGATATAATTTCCAGACATGCTGTATCTTTCTGATGCAAATGACTAAAAATACATGGCAAATTGGTACCAAATGCATCCAACTTTAATCTGGTGCCTTGTTCCCAAGCCTGTAAAATGGGAAAAAGATACCCACTCACTTCACATAACATAGTAATAAATCTAGTTAAAGCCTCTTAATTCTGTATAAACATATTGATGAGTAGCCTACAACAAACAAACATAGAAAAAAAAATAAATTAAAAAAATCCCAGCAGGTCTAAATTTAGAGGAAAATTCAGCTGGTGTGCATTGTTCCAAACAAGCAGTAAGAAGACAGAAATCAAATAGGCTGTTTATTTTTATTTGGGGCCCAATTTAGACTTTTGATCTATGCCTAAGACAGCAAGAATCCTGTGGAAAAATCTATGTGACCACACCACTGAAGACTGTTATCTGCCCAAGGAAGTGGGATGCAGATTGCACAGAAAATCTTAACTCTGGCTTTTCTGACTTCTGACTTTGCCATGATGGCATTCTTTAAACAGATATTTTTAGCTGTAATGCATCTTTAATTATGTAATTCATATACATGTACATATGCGTATCCTATTTTAGTATAGGATTGTATCATTATTATTTATAAACTCAGTTTTGTGAAAAAGAGACTTCAAAAACAGATGGCTTTTGGAGATCGATTCGGTAATGCAGAGAGTGCCACCTCGTGGTGCTTCCTAAAAAAGCATACCCAGAAGAATTGTTCTCAAATTTAGAAATAATCAAGATGAAGTTTTTGTTGGCATGTGTCACTAACTCAAAAAGTTCCCTCTTAAAATAAAATTCATTTTTCCTATAAGCTAATTTTGACCAAGTCACCACCAAGGCTGACCTCCTACAAGGAGAGGGAATGATTTTTCTTGCATATGTTTCTTGTTTTCTCTTGCAAAATCAGAGCCAGTATAGAACAACATATACTTACATCAGAGAGAAAATGTATTTCAAACCATTTTCCTGCAAGCTGACTTCTTTGGGCTTATTTCAGATTTCTGGCTCCTGGCTTTCCAAATAATCTAAATTACCACAATATTTAAAATAATTTGCATTCATACAGAAGAAGAAGTCTTTTTTTTCAGATATAGGACACAGTCTTCTGGCACTATGTGTGGCAGCCATTACTTCTAGTTGCATTCTGAGTAGAAGCTGCTCAGAAAAGAGGATTTCAGCTTTTGGCAAACCAGCATGGGTGTCAACTAACAATCATACCAGCATCAGTTTTTGCATCCAGGGTTCCCTTTTTTTAATTCTATTTCAGCCTCCAGACTGCTGATGCTTTTCTCAAAAACCCAGTTCCTGAAGTTATGTACAACTACGAGAATTTTAGACCTTCAAAAGAAAAGAAAGATAGGTTGCTGGCTCTTGCAGTCATGGAGAAATGGACCTGAAAAGTATCATCTCTACAATTCTGCAATTAAAAAAGGATCAATCTGGAGTACTTTGATAATTTCAATGCAAATCTTAACCTGGGACAGAACAGCTTCCCTGACTGACTGATCTTTTCTTTCCTTCCTTCAAGTATATTCCTCTGCAAAAAGAAGGAGGAGCTCAAAAAGCTGTCTAGAAATGCAGAAAATAATTAAAAAGAAAAAAATCAAGGGGAAAAAAAAAAAAGGGCGAACACACTCTATCAAGTCAGGATCCTCCCTAACCTCTAAACTGAAGTTGAGAACAAACTGCTTTGCTTGCTTTGTCTTCTGGATGGCTCTGAACCATGAGCACAAGAACTTGGGAAATTAAAAAAAAAAAAAAAGAAAATAACCAAGAATGCCTAAACTACAAAAAGAAAAGAAAGAAAAACCAAAAATGAACAGCAGAGACATAAATCCATGCTCTGTAACACGTATACCGCATGAAGGTTTATCATCAAGGAACTGTTTGTGCAGAGGAATGATCCAGAGCGCCTCAGCCTTGACTCCACAGCATTGGAAACCATCACACATGCAACTCAGGAATGGAGTTTCTTTATTCCTTTATTCAGTCTACCTCAGAAAGAGCCTGGAGCACAAGAAAGTCCTGCTGAACACCTCTACAGTCTGATATATGCGCAAGCTTATCTGTCCCCTAAACCCGTATCTCAGGTTGTATAGTTGTCACTGAAGTTTCTGGTGCTGGCTAAGAAGACTCTCAGACCTGAACATTCATGTTCAACATAGTAACACTAAAAAACACCTGAGTGGTAACAGGAAGGGCTGGGGGGAAGATACACAAAAGAACAGGGAGAAGGAGCATATTGACATAGACTAGGAACAGAGATACAAAGACAGTGATAAAAAATTATTGATACATCACACTTACCCTCAGCAACATCATCATCCACGATCAGCTTGAGGCTCTTTCCTCGCCGAACCACACGGACAGTGTGCCATTCGTTGTCATTGAGTTTCTGCCCAGCATAAAGAGTTTCAGGTCCCTTGCCTGGGATGGGTGATAGGTGCAACAGTTAAAGCCAGACCCACAATTGCTTTAGCACTTTCTCAATGGGAAAAGTCATGAAAATCAACTTGGTGTGATACAGACCAGTAGAGTGTACAGGTATATAACAACCTGTAATCAAACCTGTATCCTCCCAGCTCAGGGAATCACAAACCCTTCCACTCAGTCAGCTGCCTTTCTCCACAGAGCCCTAAATTCACAAGCATTTAAAATGGGTAGAAATCTCCCTTATGCTGTGGTACTAATTTCCAAACATCACATTGTACAGTACACTACAGTAATAGGAAAACAAGTTGATGACTGAAATGTTCTAAAGTGGATCCATTAAAGTAGCATTTTGCTCTCCTAAGAATCTGGATTTACAACATCCCCAAGATACTCGGGATTATTTTCAAAGTTAAACACACTGGTCTTTCAACACTTCAGTATCAAACACCAGGTTGGTTTCAGTCTCAAAAAAAACCCCCAAAAACTCCACCCAAAAACCAATAAAAAACCCCCAAAGAACTTCATAACCCACCTTTAAAAATAATTTTTAAAAAATTAAAATCTCATAAAGGAAACCATTCACCAGCCTCTCTGATTGCTTTAAGATTCTTTGGCAAAGTAGACTAAATTTGAGGTGCTTACTTCACCCCTTGAGTTACAGTCAAAAGAGAAAGAGGAGCCATGTCTTCTCCAAAAGGTTATACCACAGTTGCCTCTGCAAACAATGCTCCTGGGAAAACAGCATTAGTGCCGCCCATATTTGTCTAGTTTTGCTGCTCACCCATCACAGTTGACAGGCAATTACTTAAAAAATTAATTGTTCAGATTACAGGACTGGAACACCTCACTCATGTCAAATGGTAAGTTAAATTAAATAATGGTGTGTGCTAAATTAAAAGCATCTATCCTCATTTCATTACAGTACTAAAGTGGGGGAGGGGGGTTGATCCAGGTATACCAGAAAATGTAGAATGAGGACAGCCAAACTTGTTTCACACTGGTCTGGACCCACTGCCCAAAGTGGCAAAAGGGGAACCCAAGAAAAAGAGAATGAGACACATTGAACATATTGACAGAGGTGAGATAGGCGCAGTGAGACACTGCTACAGCTCGTTGTACTGCACTGGTAAAACTAATGTCAGATAGCGCATAGCCCACAGGATGCACAGTGCCTAATGAGCAACATTTCTGTAATTGCTTCTCACCAAAGAAGGAGCATGGGCAAAGAAGGTCGTGTCTCATTCAGCTACAAGTACATGTGTAGTAGAGGAATTCTTCAGAAGGAGACCAAAGCAAAATAAATATTCTATTATTTTTATTTTAAAAAATCATGCAGTTCATGCTAATAAAAAAAGGAGATTAATACCTTTTCAAATAAAGACCATTGCCAGCCAATTTTACCATAAACTAAAATGAAAAAAAAGTTTTTCTTGTGATCTGGCATATAAAAGTCATTCTTGGATTAAAAGGATAGGGAGTCATATGTTAAAGTAACAGAGAATATCTCCTTAGCAGGGAAACCCATAACTTGTGCTGTCCCTCATCCATGTGCCGAAGTCACATACCACACATGTAAATCCAGCTGAACAAGGCAGCTAGATCATGGCCAGAAAGTTTAAGTTCTTTGGCACCAGACAAGCAAAGCTCTAAGAAACCAATAAAGTTATACTAGATTTACATCAGTAAGTACATTTTATCCTAAAGCAAAATTCACAAAATTATCTCTCTGGATGGACAGAGAAATTATTGTGTACATCAAAACATACAGCATCAGTTACTATAGTTTTACACAGCCACTTCCCAGGTAGGAAGATGAAGGTCACCTGGACCTGTGTGTTTATATAATGCCATCTGAAAGCAGGGCAAAGTGGGGAGGGGTGGAAAATGCTTTCTAAAAAAACCCAATTTTTCCACATCAGAGCTCTGGAGGGCTCAGCCAAGAGAAATAATCAGGTGTGCTGGAGTCTGCTCAGCTGACAATGCAATGCATTCTATGAAATAGCTCTGTGTTCAGCATGGTTGAGTAACTCAGCTGCTGACCTTCTAGTTCCCGTTTTTCAACTCTAGCCTGACAGAACAGATCAGCTAAAACAGTCTGGGGTTTGGCTCGTCTTGATGCCCACTGTAACACTTTCAAAACAAAACTGTGATACCAACAGAAGTTATATGAATATATGTTCAGAAAATGTAGCTTAACCAATTCACAAACAAATTAATAGAAAGGTGTAGCATTCACATTTTTTCCAAATTAATAAGGTTTTCTAATTAGAAGTAACTGGTTAATAGCGTGGGCTAAAAAATTGAAAATTAAGCACTGCAGATATTAATTATTTTAAGTCCATGTTTTGATTGGTCAGTCTTATATTTGATCTGTAGAAACCAAAAAAAAAAGGTTTAAAACATTTGTTCACTTACCACCCTCCCTTTAGCAAAAATGGTCATTGGCTTCTTTCAGTAGGGTTACCCATAAAACACTACATACAAAAATTCAATACATGAGCATGCCTAAGAGCATTAAAATAAGTTTTTCAAACCAAATATATCTGATCTTAAAAGGAAGCATTAAACAAAATGCTATTTTATTCTATCCAAACTGTTTTATTTTCAAATGTGTTCAAGACATTTATGCAGCAGTGGGTTGACCTGAAAAGCAACACAATTGTGCCCTCATTTTTCAACTGTTCAAATGAATTGTTGCTCCTTGTGTAAGCTCTCTTTGAATTCTAAGTAGTTCCAAGAACTGTGTATACAGGGACTTTCACATCTGGATACCAAAATTCATTTCACTGAGCCTGATTACTACATGCGCCATTACTATATAGACATTTATGTGTTATCAATTTTTAAACAAGGGCTTGAAGGTTCCTAACCCAACAGCTGCTGATTGGGCCACATGTTCCAGCACCATAACGCTGTCCCTAAGAACAATCTCCTGCCAGGCATTTCTGTGGTCATGTTTTACAGGTTTAAGGTTTTTCCTCCTTTCAAACTATCTGCATCTGCATAATCCTTTAAAAAGGAAAACAGACATATGAGGAAGCAAAACAGAATATTAAACGGACAGAGAAAGAAATCTAGAGATTTGGATCTTCCCTTTGTATAACATTCTTTTATGATAAAAGACAAGAAAAGGCAAAGAAGGAACTCTTGTAGCAATGAACAGCACACCTGGAAACACTTTCTATTTACAATACTTTGGGCCACTGGGCATTAGGTAATTTTGAAAATTTATTTAATTTTTATGCATGGAAAGAGTAAAGGACAACATAACAGGAAACAGAGCAAGGAAGCTTTTATTGTTGCAATAACTTAATAGTTAAGCTGACAGACCATCATTCTTTTTGGCACCTCTGACTGTCTTGGTCATCCCATCCCCTTTCCTAATGCTATCTGAGGAACTGTGTATCATATGGAATTGATCCTTACATTTCATTTTACAACTCAAATGAGGCAAACTAGTGAATATTCCTTTTATGCTTTACAGTGGCAAATACTACTTAATCAGAATCAAAAATATCTGTCTCTCAGCCATCCTCAAATTCTGGACATGAGTTCAGCTGCAGTTCAGGCATCCTGAGCAAATATTACTCGACTCAGCCACAGTGACTCCTTCTCATTCTCCCATGAATCTGCCAACATCTACTCAAACTTTTATGCATATTGTTCATAAAAAACAATTAGTATATACTTTCAAACATGAAAGAACTTATCCAATCTGCCCAGAGTGTCCCAAACATTATATCTGTATCAAAGGGGCACTGCTACTAATTAATAGCTTGGCTCAAAATAAACTACTTAAAATGCCAAGAACGCACATGCCAAAGTATAAAAAATCAAAAAGCAGATCATGCCTTCTAAAAATGCCAAGTTGCTTTCCATGTGCTCCCCAAGAACTCGCTTGTTTAGAACAAACAACTGGTCAGAGGGATGCAGCTCTGACAATACCTCTGAAAATGCACTTCTTATTCACCCTCAGTGGCTAACAGCACACAAAAATTTCCTCTATGAGATAAAGGAGAAAGACGGCTAATCCCCTTTGCAGTTTCTCACAGGTAGATCAAAAGGTGTGCTTTTACTTTGGTGCAGGCTGTCATCATCTGATCCATTTATGAGATTAAAATGACCTGCATGAAACCAGGCTATCTTTATCATTGCATAATTTAGCCAGCATTACAGAAGAAGTGGAACATTGAAGTCTCCAGAACACGACAAGAGCTGAACAGAAGGGATGTTGCCATATTGATGAGAATGGACAAGGTTCAGTGCAATTCCCTCAGTGCAATTACAATGATAAACAAATAATTCTACTAATGCTTTCCAAAGACCCCCAGTAATAATAAGATTTTCTCTGCTTTTACATTTTCACTAAAATCCTTAGCTACCATCTCAGATTTTTTTCAGCGGAAAGATGTATTTTTGTGTCTCTTTTATACAGGGCAACACCCTGTCAGAATGCCATCCCAAGGCAAAGAGAGGCTGCGAGGGGGAAGTTTCTATGCTCCCCCCTTCCCTTTTTTTTTCATTTGTGATGGAGCAGGGGCATTGGGGTTTTTTTTACTTACTCCTTTACATAATGACCAGAGAAGTTGTGGTTTGCTGTGCAAAATGTGTACATAGAGATTTGTGCAACACAACAGTGAATCACAAGACCTCAAAAAAAGGAAGAAATGAGTGTGAGGACAAAGATGCTTGCAATTTTTCACACACCTTTGTGGCTTCCTGGTATGTAGTAAGTTCCTACAAAGCACAGGTCAATTATCAAGACACAAGAATGGCTCAAAAGCAGAGCAGGCAGCTGCTCTGAAAATCTTCAGTAACTTTCAGTCTTGATTAAACATAAACCACTAACATAAATTTTGTTGTTTCTTTCAGGCAGCACTAGAATGAACAAAGTGTTTTAGGATGGTCTTTTCCTTGACCAGGATTTGCTGTTCAATACCAGGAGCATTGTTAATTGCTAAGAAACAAGTGGTAACCCCAGACTCTGTACATTG